GTCCGCGCGCTTTAACGAGGACCAGCGATGCGACACCGCGCTTAGTCCCCGCGGAATTCACCGAGCAAGCCGTTCCGTTTATACGGAAGCACCTGAGCACCCGCTCGAGGATCAGCGAAAGCCTCGCGATACAAACGCTGTATAATCGGCGACGATCGAAAGAATCCGCGCGATCGAGCAGACGCTGTACGCGACAGCGAAAGCCGTGGAGGAGGGAGACCCTCCCTCGCTCGCCGAGAGTCCCTCTCGAAGGATCTATCGAGACGCAGCGCGTCGTCGATCGATTGTGATCGTGATCACTTGACCGGGACGAGATATCGGGGAAGGGAAAGGAAAAGGATCTCGCGAAAAGTGAGTCTCGAGCCGGCGTTCTCTACGAGAGTGACTTACGGCAGGTAGCTCGACGACGATGACGACGACGACGACGACGACGACGACGACGACGACAGCAAAGACGAAGACGAAGACGAGGAGGAGGACGACAAGACGACGCGGAAGACGAACGGACGCTCGTCCGTCATACCGGACGGACTTGCGACTCACGACGACGACGACGACGACGACGACGACGACGACGACGACGACGGCAGCGCAGACGATGACCGCGTTTCCGCGACACGTTGCCTGCTCCTTGCTCGCGTTAAGCGCATCATCCGGTCGGCCCCGAACGCGCGGGTTGATTGACCGCCGGTGGTCGCACCGCGCGCGCTGCACTATCGATTATACGTCTAGCGAAACGGAGCGGAGCAGAGCGGTGGCACGTGGTGGTGCTTCGACTAGGCCAGCGGTGTGCGCGCGGCCCTACGCCCTATCGCTCGCACGCTCGGCGCATGTTTATCGGTGTTCCCTGCGTTCGCCCGCCGCAATAAGGATCCCGCAATCGCGCCGGTGCCGACTGCGGTCACGCTGGAGGAAGAGGCCTCCGCGACGGCGACCGCGCAGGATCGCCACGGAGAGCGGAGGCTATCCCCCGCGCACCTGGACCGCCGTCGCCGTCGCCGATCGCCGATTAACCGTCGAAGAGGGAGCTCTCGTGGATCGACGATGGGGGGGAGGAAACAGTGATGGTGGTGGTGCGAGAAGCTACCAGCAGCAGGCGCGATGGCACGCAGCGGATCGGGAAAGCGCTCTGCGATTTTCCGCTCCTTCCTCGAGCTCCCTCCCTCGAGAACCTCCTCAGTGTCCTCGTCGATGATGCCGCGGGAAGTTTCGCGACGCGGCGACTCGCGAGATCGTTCCCTCCTCTCCGCCGGCTGCTTGTCGAGAGAATTGAGGTCTCGGGAGGCTTGGAATTCTTACGGCGCGCCGCGGTGAAACCGATTCGCTTTACATCGCGTTAGGTGTTTTTCTGTGATTTTTTTTGTTTGCTGGCGACATATTGCAGGGATGAGAAAAAAAGAGTAGGTAATGACGATCAACGATCGCCGTGACGGGCGAAGGAAGGATGGGAAGTAATTCTCGGTGGAGGATCACGCGCGAGGACTTTACGCCGCTGCAAGGTCGCTTAATGAAATTAGCGAGGGTTAATTTTCTCTCGCTTCGTTCGGCAGATTGGTTAACTATAGGGGAATTCCAGCGCTTAACAGCTTTTTTGTAGCTGAGAGAAAGTTTAGTTTATCGGAGTTGAGTGTGGGGGAGGGGGGGGGGTTTGGGCAGCCGACCAGCCGTCCCCCCGCTCGCCCCGACGTATCATATCGTAGTCGCTAAACCAGCGGCTACTTTAATCATCCGGAATCTTGCATGCGCGAAGAAAATGAATTCGCCACAGTCACGCGACTCGCCGTTACGTGCCGAGACCGGCCGCGTGCGAGTTACTATTTCTTTCGCGGAATAAATCAAACCGTGCAAAAATTAGCCTCCGTCAGGAACGCGTGCGCGCGAGACAAATGTATTTCCCCTTGCCCGTTGTTCTCCAGCCACGCACCATCCCGATTACACGTTCCCGACGAAACTCGCTCGTCGTTTGGACTTTTCCCGTTCGCTCCTCAGTCCTGGTCGAAATGGAGAGAGAGAGAGAGAGAGAGAGAGAGAGAGAGAGAGAAACAGAGGGAGCTGATTTTATCAACGTCGATTAACCGTAATCGCGGTAAATTAAATTTGGCTCTCTTCTTCACTCTTCTCTCTCTCTCTCTCTCTCTCTCCCCCTCTCCAGACGTAAAAAAGATAAAAAGCAAATTACAGCACGGTTTCAGGTAATTGACACTGATGAAAAAGCGTAGGAGGAACTTGAGAGGCGAGTAATGAAAATTAATTTAAAAAGACGACCAATTTTAGTGTATACTTTACGCCACCAATTACGCCCGTTGTTATTGTTCCGCGACAGCGATTAATGTCGTGTAAATCGACAGAGGCGGGAGTTTGGGGCCGGGGACGGGAAGTAATTTGCACGTCCGTCGCAAGCGGAGGTGCAGGAGGTGCGCCGAGCCGCGACTAACAGCAATAGCAACTTGGCAATAAGTTCTTTTTATTTATTAAGAAAAATCTCCCTGTTATTAGCGTCGTTGAGTAAGTACCGTGTCGTAGTTTTCGCGCGAGGATAAACATATCTCGGCGTTTGTGTGTCGCATAATTCCGCACGCGTAGCAAAATAAATCGGATATCTTTTTCTTGTTTCTTCCTTTCCTCTTCTTTTTATTCTGTACGAAATTGTCGTTGCGGCGCGAGTCGCCTTTACCGGACGAGTCGTTTATCCAAGGCGCTTTTACAAGGATGCCGGTCGCGTGTTTCTTTCTTTTTTTCTTTTCCTCTGTTTTTCTCTCCCTTTTTTTTTTTTTCAATATCGTACAATTAAATTACATCGAGGGTAAATAGGTCGCCGTCCGTATCCGTGCGGTTCTCAGAGAGGCTTACATCCCCGAACGGATACCGACTAATGCTTTGCAATTATATTAAAGTGGCAAGAAAAGCCGCATTCAAACCGCCTTACACGCTAATATTTATAATTACGTAATTCATCACAGCAATGAACAAAATATACGTGTGCGCATGTGGATGTACAAAACTCGTGAGTCGCTTCTCTCATTCACTCATTCACTCTCACTCTCTCTTTCTTTCTCTCTCTCTCTCTCTCTCTCTCTCTCTCTTATTTTCTTGTCATTCTCTCGTAAATTTCGCGCAAGTCGCGTTACTCGCAACTTCCGACTCTTCTCGCGTTTTCAATTACCGCCTTACAAGTTACAACTTACTTTAGAAGTATTAAAATTACATCCTATAATATCTGTTTCCGGAATTCAATGCAGCCGCGTCAATTACGAGTCACGCAGGGTGAGGGTGTGTGAAGGAGGGGGGGGGGAGGGGGAGAGGTGGAATCTCTCATGTTCACGCTGCGTAGGAAGGACGGGAAAGGGCCAATTAAAACTCGCTAATACGTACGCACAACGGTGTGACTTCTGTCAAATTTTTCTCGCCAAAGGAAAAAACGTGTACGGAGACAAGTTTCGGTGGGAGGAGTAACCGATCGTTCGTTACTTTTTTTGCGATTCGCGTAAGGCATTAGAAGTTGTATATTTAAGGCATCGGTCGTCGTTTCTGCTTCGCATCTGGGACGCGCGTAAAGTAACAAGGCCTGCTCTTTCTCTCTTTCTCTCTCTCTCTCTTTTTCTATCTATCTGTATTTTCGCTATTAGGTCTCGTCTCAAAGTAGAACGTGTGTAGAAATAAAAAACAAAATGTAGTGTCGTTACAACATAGTAATGTACCAATACGCCGATAGAGTATCGATGATGATGATGATGATGATGATGATAATAATATAATAATGAAGATAACGATGACGGCAACAAAGACAGCATCTACGATCTCGAGATATAATCGATGATGTCGATGATCGATGACGCTGCTTCTTGCTGTCGAAGATGACGTTGACGTAACGCAATAGTTACAAAAAATTACATAAAACATATATTTATACGTACGTGTGTATTATATACGACTACGACGGTTTCGCTTAGCGTGTGAAGTTTCGTGTGCTTGTTGTGTGTATGTGTGAATATGTTTTAACGGGGGTTTTAAGGACATATCGCGATAGGTCGTCGTCCTATCTGTACAAAAATAAGAATCTGTCTCGTTATTAAATGCTCAAATATTTAATAATTCGAATCCATACACTTTCGCTTATCAACAAATCACCTGAATTCCGGAACAGTCCATTATTTAGAAAATATATGGTATATATACAATAAAAATGCTTTTAGAGTTCAGTTTCGTTAGTTTCATTCTCTCGCTCTCTTTCGCTCGCTCGTTCGTTTGTTTGTTCTCTCCCTCTTCTTCTCTCTTCGTTCCCTTTTTGGCTGTCACATTTACGCCTAGATGTGATGGATATCACAGAGTTAATGGATGTAGATCCGACTAATGTAGTAATGAAGTATGTGCTGCGCGTGTGTGAGTCTTCTTTTTTACACACTCCCCTTCTTGCCGGCTTTTTATATACCCGCGGCGCCTTTTCCCTAGTTTACGCGAGCATGTCGCGTGGCTCCCTATGTAAGTATCTGTGTGTATGCGTATGCGTATGTAATCAATAAAATTGTGTATGTATATATACACATTCCGGTGCGTGTGAATGCTATTTAATAAAAATATAAAACTATTGAACTCTCTCTCTCTCTCTCTCTCTCTCTCTCTCTCTCTCTCTCTCTCTCTCTCTCTCTCTCTCTCTCTCTCTCTCTCTCTCTCTCTCTCTCTCTCTCTCTCTCTCTCTCTCTCTGTCCTTCTAACTCTCTTCTTCTTTTTCTTCGTGTTGGACCGCAATCTCAGCTTCTCTCCCCCGTCAGAGCGATACCGCCTGAATTTCTAATACGCTATTATCTCCGTTTCATACCCGAATCTGTACAAATTCCACGGTCACGTCTTGGACAGTCGAACGAACGACCACGCGATAAAAATATTCGCACGAGTCGAGCAACGCCGGGCTCGCGCGTGAGACTATGCTGCACAAGGGGTAGGGGAGGAGGCGCAAAGATACGAGGGAAATGGAAACGATATTACTCGTCGGAATTTTCGCGTCTATAATACTTTGCCCGCCGCAATGTTTGGTATCGTGGAGGACGACGGTGTCGTGCTGAATCTGAATTCGCGAGGATGCAGTAGCGAAGAAAACGCGTGCAAAGCTCCCACTCATCTTGAATTACACATTGACTTTGTTTTCGTAGAGTAGGCCGCGGGAAAGGAGAACGACAGGAGAGCGTTCGGTTCGCCGAGGAGGAACTCCTCATCGCGATACACATACGCACAACAACGTGCGTGTCGCGCGCGATTCGGGACGCGTCGGCGAACTGGAAATCGAAGCGCGTCCGAATACCGAAAGACACACGCCTGAGGTCTCGTATCGTCGATGACGAACGGGGAGATAACGAGATGCGTGATCGATCTGTTTTCGACATCCACTAACTCTATTTTTAGAGATGCAAAAGCATGTTTATACGCGATACGAATGCGCGTGTCCTGGGAGGTCCGCGGGTGCACCACCACACTCGGCCGGCTACGTCGACAGTTACGTTACACGGTAAAGTTCGTGAGTTTGCGGCTGGTCCGATGGAATTTCTTTTTTTCTTTACCTTCAAATCCCGAGGAGCTATACTGCGCCGCGCGATCAATCTCGAGACCTGATGGTAATTAATATTCAAAGTTCTCCAACGTAGCCAAGTCGGTTTGAAAGCCGCTTGAAAAGACGAAGATTACCAACGAGATTGTTCCGCCCGGGGCATCTTGATGGAAGTCTCGGGGGATACGAATCTCGGGGGAGGGGGGGGGGGTCTTGGTCGATTAGCCCGTAATTAATTTCCACGTCGATTCGCCAATCGTTGCGAATTTTCACGTTCGTGTGACCGATCTCTTCCGTAGAAACGCGCGCGCGCGTCGGACAACGTTCTTGGCCGATTCGCTCTTGGTTTCTGAGAAACGCTCCCCGAGTTTCTTCGCTTGTCGTTGTCGAGACTCGCAAACTCACGAACCTGTGTCGGCACGAGTGTCGCGACGAGGCGCGGACCTTCGTTTGCGAGGCCGATCTCGAGAATGTCTTTGAAAATGCACGCACGTCTGCCGGTGACGAGATGCAATCGTGTGAGCGGTATACTCGTTACTCTTTTAGAAACAGTCTTTATACAATATCTCCATTATATTATGTACAATTGCTGCATACTCTAGCTAAAGGATAAAACCTATGTCCCTTGCAGTTACACAAAATCCAAGTACACGAGCTCAACCTGTGCCAGTCGGGCGGGTTGTAATTACATAATCGTCATGTCTGTCGACCCTCGTTCGAAAATAACCAATTGAAATCTCGATTACTTATACCCTGGTCGTATGTACAATTAGCGCGATTACTTAATAAGAATATACACTCCGAGTCTTAAAGTACTCTCAAGTGGTCGTGATTCGAGGCTGTCGCGTTAAATTACACACTTTCGTTAGCCGACGAAAGGAAGATATTCAGGCTGGGACTGTGTCTCCGAAATATATATCCTCGAGTTTATAGCTGATGATTCGTCGTCGGCCACTCTTCCATCGTGTTATTACCGCGAGAATCGAGTATCTCTCTCTCTCTCTCTTTTTCTTTCTCTCTCTCTCTCTTTCTTTCTCTCTCCATCAGTATCCCGCGCTTCAAATTTTTAGTCACATTTCTCGCAGGAAATGCGACCTGCGGCCGCTGCACTTTCCACTCGAGATTCATATTTTTAGCATCAAGTTCCCCCAGCCCTGAATATCGTCGCTCTCACTTTCTCGCCCGAAATCGAACGGAAAACACGCGAGCGATCGTAAATTATCCGCGCAAACGGAACCACCACGGTGGTAGTGTTCAAGCCGCCGTTCCGATTAGTCAACAAATCTGGCAGTAAAGTATTGGCCTATACGCGATGCCGCATTACGTTCGGGAAACAACAGCGGTGCTGGAATCTAGAAAGCGCCTAGAGTTTCAGTCGCTCTCGTGCGGAATACGAGTTCGCGAGTTGCAAAAGTAATATATCGTAAAAAATAATCGTATAGCACTCGAGGAAACGGGGTGTACGGCTCTCTCTCTCTCTCTCTCTCTCTCTCTTTCTCTCTCTCTCTCTCTCTCTCTCTCTCTCTCGCTCTCTCTCTCTCTCTCGCCTCTCGTGTCTTCAGTCGGAAACAATGGCGATCGGCGGCTATTTTAGCGTAATTAGGCTTGCTGCGTCGATAGAACGGAAATTATATTGTCGATAATGGATGTTAAGCTGCACGTCGCGTTCTCATGTCGCGTATTTTTCACGTATCGACAGCTCGTCGATCGATAGCTATCAAACTATGAGCTATATATATGTACATACACACGCACTTCCAGCAACACGCAATACCTGAGAGAATCCGTGCTGGAAATTACAGTACACCTCGAGACCCCTTACACTTAATAGCTGCAGATCATCTCGAGAGTAATACGCGCAGCGTGTTAGTAGCGATGTAAGCTGCTACGTACAAGGTAAACAGAAGCGAGAGTAACGACGACGACGGAGGGGTAGACGCCACGCTCGAAGCTGCCTTCGTTAAGTCCTCGCACACACCTGTAACGTAGTGCAAACGTGACGTTGAATATTTATACCGCGCTTATCCGGCATGCTCGCGTTTAAGACCGATGTAATGTGCAACATCATAGAGGCTACGGTGACGCAACCGTAATTAACTCGCTAGCTCTGTTGAGCACACAACTTCCCGTAGTCTCGACTCGTCGTATCAATGTCGGTCAATCGATCAATTCGTGTCGAACAAATCATGTTGAGACGATCGCTCGTGATGAAAGTGAGTCTTCTCGCTCGCGAAGCACGCGAAATTTGCCGGTTTACGTTCGCAACGATCGCGTGGAAAATGTAACGTCGCGTCCCCGATAATTACCTTGACTCGACAGTCTATACGTCCATTCCTCCTTGGCTTCTCTCTGGCAAATGTTGGAGGGCCTCGACAGCCACAATTCCTGCTCCTGTTGCTTCAGTCTGCCGCTTCTTCCCGAAGCCTTGTCCCTGACGCCCTCCTGGCGCATGGTGAAACAGAACGTTCCTCCTCCGCCTAGGCCGATCGAGAACTCGGGGTTTCTTTGAGATGCGATCGTGTACCATGTGCCCTTTTCCTCCCAGCTACCGTGACAGTAATAAGCTGACGAGAGAGAGAGAGAGAGAGAGAGAAATCGCGTCAATCTCCGGGTTAGCCGTCAGTCGGACCTCGCAAAGTCGCAAAGTCGCAAAATGCCACAAATTCGCCCGGCCTTACCAATCTCCTCGTGCTCGCACGTGTTGGCGATTATCATCTCAGTTTGGTCGGACGACGTGCAGCCCACTTGAATATGCGTGCTCCTGCACTCCTCGTCCTCGGTGTTATCCTGCCAAGTCCGCCTCTTGGTCGTCTCGGACAGCTCGCTGCGCCGCTGGCGCCTTGACGCAGCGGCCGATAGTACATGGGACAGTGCAAAATCCAGGATCTCGTACCGTCCCGGATTAGGACATTTCCTCTGATGCAGGAACGTGGCTGCGGCAGACGAGAAAATACGATTTGCATACACCGATTTGTTTCACCGGGCGCGCCCACCGATCACTAATCCGCGGTACGACGGAATGCGCGCGCGCGCGCGCTCGCGCTCGCGTGGCACGAGCGGCAGCGCACATTCTCTATTTAATATTAATGAGCGACGCGTCGCGAGACACGGATCGGCACTTACTTATTAGGGTCGTGTACGGCATCGTCGAGGGGTCCGAAATCGAGCACGCCTCGTCCGGCATAATCGCCTTTTGGTCTGCGGTCAAAGAAGCGGCAAATTAGGAGATACAAACAAACGCGCGCGCGCGTGCGCGAGATTCGAGACAGACAAAGCGCAGACGCACCTGATTGCTGAATCTCGATGATGTGGCTGTCCCTTCTGTGGAAGATCATGCACACGTATCCAATGTCGCTGTGAATATAAATGAGAACGGGAGATGAGACAGATGTGGGTCGGTCGCGCGCGACCAGAGCCGCGAAGACGAATCGAGAGAGAGACGGGATTTTTACCAGCCGCTGGTGACGTGCGCGATCAGCTTGACTTTGTTGCCTTGCATGTTGTCGTTCGGATACAGCTGCTCCAGGTTGTGACAGACGATCTTCTCCTCGTGCAGCGCGTCCACGTCAGTGTCCTGCGACTGCGGCTTCACCTTCAGCGTGGCGTTCTTGTTGGTGAAGTGATAGACCTTGGTGCCGTCTAGAGAGTGCCAGTCGTGATGCTGGGTTACCCAGGCCGGATACTTGCACTTGTGCTCTTTGTCGACTGTCGAGAGACGCACAGAAAGAACCGTGAGAGACGAAATTGGGCGGCCGTATCGAGAGACGCGTTTGCTCTCTCTTGCTCTCTCTCTCTCCCTCTCCCTCTCCCTCTCTCTCTCCCTCTCCCTCTCTCTCTCTCGATCGCGCAGTTACCTTTAGTGAGTTTTATGGTGGGTGAGCCCTCGGAGACGGTGGTGAGGCCGTTGCAAGTCGGGTCGCCGGACTGGGCGAGCAGATAGATCTTGCCCTGATGATGCGCCTTCTCCTCGTATAAAAAACATCTACCGAAAAGAATAAAAAGCTAATGCAATGTTTGCTAATGCGCGCAGAATTGCTTCGGCGATTTCTCGCTTCGGCCGGCGGCGTCTCGGTTGGCGCTTCGTTCTCGCGCGCTTACAGCGCGGCTTATGTGCTCGCGCGAGAGCATGCAACCGAAAAAGCCAGCAGCGTGGCTAATGGCCACGTGAAAGACGACAAATGAGCGATTAACCATCTTTTCACCTGGCCATCTCGGCGCACGTCCCCATTATACGCCGTAAACGCCGTGCAACGCGACCGAACGCGACATGCTGAGAAACGCGACGCGCGTAAACACCTGGCGGACGCACGGAGTGGCAGGTGTGGCGCGTGTAAAGCGACCGACTTGGCGTGCACTTGGTGTTGGTTGCGAGCATGCTAGGACAAAATCGCGCGCAGCAGCGACAAGTCGCGCTGCCGTCGCGCGGGCTCGGCAATAGTAAAGAGCCTCCTAGGAAGAGAGTGGCAAACTCTGATCAGGCGCAAAGTGACCAGGACTCTGTTGATTCAATGGAGGCACAAAGCCTTCTTGACCAATTAAAATATCGATATAGCATAAGACGACAGGTTGGTTTTATAGGGGGTTTTTAAAGCAAGTCTGACGTACATCTGTCAATCATTAGAGGAGGTTACGCAAACGAGATTCGCACAAGATATTCGCCTACGAATTAATAACAGCAATAACAATCAGCAAACAATACTTATTACTTACGGACAGATGTCCGTAAGTAATAAGTATTAATTGCGAAAGAATATTTGTCGCTTCGATTTACATAGAATAAGAATCGTAATATATATATATATATATTATTTACATAATTTTGTGTCTTGTGCATAGTATAAAATGCCTAGACTGCTTCTAAAACTCAACCTGTAAAACCAACCTGTCGTCTTGCTATATCGATATTCTGATTGGTCGAGAAGACTCTGTGCCTCCGTCGAATCAGCAGAGACCTGGTCACGTGATCAGTTTGCCACTCTCTTCCTACGAGGCTCTCTAGGCAACAATGCCGCTGGTGCGCGCGGCATCGAGGAACCGCTCGCTCGCGCTTCACCTGTAAGTCCTGCCGTTGCCGAGGGCGTTCCTCCCCTTCAGCGTCCCCACCAGATACTTATTTCGGCCGTCGTTCCACACGGCGAGGCACTGCAGCTCCTCCGCTGCGGGCAAAACGAGAAACGTGTGTTGAGATGGAACATCTAATTGAACGCGCGCGCGCGCGCGCGCGCGCTTGAGCGTCGATTCTCGCGGCAGTTTTCCACGAGACTCGTCTCGACACGCTGAGAGAGAGACGATGTCGCGGCACTAAGTAGGACGAATTAATCCAATGCCCCGGCGTTTAATCGGACAATGCCGTTTACGGCGATGATCGACGCAACGTACTGTTACTCTCGGTCCCCTCGACGTCCGGGCAGGCTTGGTACTTGAGTAGAAGTTTGCTCTCGTCGGTGCACTTCTCCGCGAGGCTGATGGGACTCGTGCACTCGCCGTAGCCCCGGTTGTACGTGAACATGAACGACGAGCCGGTGAACGGGCAGGGTATCGGTTTGGAGTGCATGCGGAAGATCGAGTAGAGCATGTCGTCCGAGGTGATCATGTTGCACATGTCGTCCAGGCTCGTGCGTTCCGGGCTACACCAGCCTGTGCGCGCGGAGCGACGCCGGGAAAAAGGGACAAAGTTGAGTCGGGTTAGTCTCTCTCTCTCTCTCTCTCTCTCTCCTTCTCCGATCGATCGTCGGCGTAATAACGAAGCAAACGTACCTTCGCGATACTGGATCACGTTATCATGCCGCTTGTTGATGATCATGCAGTGGTAGCAGTTCTCGCCGCTGAAACTACCGGGGAAATTTGCTCCCGTTAATCGGCGCGTTTATCAGCGAAGACTGACCGGTAGATATCTATTCGGACGATACTCACTACACGATGTACTTGTCGTCCTTTGTCTCGACGCATGTTCTATCCCCGAGAAGGGTCGTGTTTATACCGAATGGTGGCTTGCCGTACTGGTACCACTCCCCCGTCCAACCCGATGGAAAGTCGCACGAGCCTGTAACGCAAGGAGAGTCTGCGTCAACACGAGCTACCAAGGCGTACAGGGGGGGGGGGGAGATGGGATTTCTCAATGAAAGTAGGTTTGACGAATTCAGAAGGGGCGAGTAATAATGAGTAACTGACAAGTCCCCGCGCGCGGAAGCGAATTTCTATACGGTGCTAACGAGCGTAAGGAGATTTTGACGAGATTTCACGCGACACGCAAACGAGACACGTCGTCGTGAAGCATCATCCCACATTAACCGAACTCGAGTTCGACGGTTCGAGATTCTTCGAGAGAGGGGCGAGAACTCTTTCTCTCTAAGCGTTCCCTGAGCGTTTAGCGCGAGCGAGGCGTGGCTCGCGCGATTCGTCGCGACTTGAAAATTACGAATGAAAAAACCAGTTTTCTCCGAACGCGTTCTCCCCCCCCCCTCCCCTCCGGCTCCCTCCTCCCGCGATCCTCCTCGAGGTCTACGCTCGCGCTCGCGGGCCAGGTGGGGAATTCGAAGGCGAAGACGCGGCTGATTGGGGGAATTAAGAGGCTCCACGCTTTCATTAAGAGGAGCGTACGATTAGAAAATTGCTATCGAGCCCGACGAAACAAGGCTCAGGGCGTGAGAGCCGACGCGGAGGAGCGACGTGCGTGCGTGCGTGCGTGCGTGCGTGCGTGCGTGCGTGCGTGCGTGAGTGCGTGAGTTGCGTGGCCTGGCACGGCGGTGGCGAAGCGCCCAGCCGCGCTCGGAATGCCGGGGGAATGCGCGCGTTAGAAGCGGGGAAAAAACAAAGTTAACGACTCGCGGACGCGTTATTATAGCCGTCGTCGTGTTCCCATCCTGTCGTCGGCCGTTTATCTTAGTCGTCGGCAGACGAGCGAGCGACGCTATTTAGCGAGCTCCGGCGAGCGCAAAGTTGCCAGACGGCAGCTCGCGCAGCCGGCGTAAAAGTTCCCAGACGCGCGTACGCGCTCGGAACGGACGGCCGACATTACATTCTCTCGCGACCGAGCGTCTGCGTTTGTCTCTCTGTCGTCGGCTCCGGAGCGGAATAATCGCGCCTTTTCGATCAGCCGCGCGCGCTCCCCGCGGCGAGCAAACTCTCTCTCTCTCTCTCTCTCGAGCGACTCGATTCTAGGTCGTCTCGCGGCCGAGTTTGGAGCGCGATTCGTCGCGTACATTGTTGCAACGCGCGCGCGCGCGCGCGAAACAATCGCACGTACAAAGTACAAAGTACACGCAGAAAGTGTCCGTGAGAGAACATCGACGTGTCGCGGCGAGTTCTCCCGTGAGGAAACGGGAGCGCGCGTCGCCGCTTCCTTGAAACTCTCTCGCGGGCCGCTCGTGGAGTTGTGAGCCCCGGAGCTCTCGCGGAGGTCAGCCGATAAACGTCCTTGGCCATGTAGCGATTCGACAGTGCGTATTTATCGGCGCCCACGATCGTCGCCGCGCCGGTGCGTTCGATCGCGAACGCGTGGCCGCGTGTACACATTTCGGGGCGGTCGAATGTCAGAAATAGCCGGCGAGAGGGCGGAGGGTGCGCCAAGGGAAATGGGATACACGCGAGAGCGTCTACAGGGTGTCCCCCTGGCTTGAAGCCCGGGCCTTAATATTAATGACCGAAGCGCGCATATACACACACACACACACACACGACGAAGTCTCACACCGAGGGGGGAATTCCGCGACGGGCCGTTATCGGCGATAGTCATTAAGCGTCTCGGTAATTCATACAAGTCGGACGGCGAGCAATTCCGGCCGAATTCGCACCAACCGCGCAATCCCCATCCGCAAGGCCGGCGACATTTCCGCGCGCGTTCGTGCGTTCGCGACTCGCCACGGCATAACGCACGTGTCCGCGAGGCTTTCTCAATTCCCCCGGTCTCAACACGTCGCTAATCCGAGCGTCGACGAATGGCGCGGCGGGTCTAACTGCGCTTCCGGGACACCTAGTACATAAGCGACGTACGCACGTGCGTGCAATACGCGCGCGAGAACGCACCGGGGCGGCACGGCGGCGTGGAACGCGGCCACGTCGAGAAGGAAGAAGAAGGGCGGAGAGGAGCAAGCCGTCGACCGTTTTAGACACGCATCTTTCGTCGAAGGGACATCATTTATCTCGACGTGCGACGGAAGGCGAAAGGAGGAACGGGAAGAGAGAAGAGACGGCGGCGCAGGAGGGTGGTGTTGTTCTCTCTTCGCGTCCCTTCCTCTTCCTTTTCCTCCTCCTCCTCCTCCTCCTCCTCCTCCTCGTCGTCGTCGTCGTCGAACGAAGAACCGGCGACAGAGCCTGGCGGTCGGCGAGGACAGCCTCGACGAGCGGCGACGGCTGGCGTTTTGTGTGCGTCGCGTCTCGCACGGTTAACAGCTCTTTTTCAGGGAGAGAGCCGCGAAGAAGCACGACGGGGCGGGGCGGGGCGGGGCGCGAAGCCGTAGAAAGCGGGCGAGACTCGTTAACGAGCTAACGAGCGCGAGTGCGTCCGCGAGCCGCGGCCGCGCAAAGAGAACGAGGAGTTTCGGGCGGAAACGGGCGTCGAGGAAACGACGGCGAGCGATGAAGAGGCGACTCGGGGCCAAACTCCGCAGGCTGTCCTCGCGCCCGAGTCGTATGTCTTTCGAGCGGCGCGGCGTTTAAATAAACGCGCGTCCGCGCTGATTAAGTCGCACGCGCGCGCGCCTCAACGCGCCGCGAATATCCGTCGCGAGAGAGCCGAAACGATCCTTGCGCGCGAGAATAGCCGCGGCGTCGGGCTTTTTCGACGCGTCGTTGCTCGCTCTCTCTCTCTCCCTCTCTCTCCCTCTCTCTCTCTCTCTCTCTCTCTCTCTCTCTCTCTCTCTCTGTCTCTCTCTCTCTCTTTTCAGCGAATTGTGATTTCGGTTATTTCAGGGCGATTTTGTCCCGACGGGTATCACCGGGAGACGTCGTCGTTTCAAGACGGATCTCTCGAGGGGTTTGATATGGACGCGACACACTTGGGGATTTCAATTAGCCCGGTGGTTCTAATTTCTCGCCGAGAGAAGGATACGAATGAACGCGAGCGCAGCTCGTCGAGCTTTTGATTAATTCGCGGGAAACGAGATGGAGGTTTCGGGTGCTGCGGCTCTTTATATTCTGAGCGCATAATTGAAGGAAGAGAGAGAGAGAGAGAGAGAGAGAGAGAGAAAGAGAGCAACGAAGCGGGCTAATGTAAGCGATATTAATCCACCGCGACGATATTTACGACGTTGGAAAAATCGATGTCACGCGATACCCCGACGATGACGACGACGACGACGACGACGACATCGTGCTCTCGGCGTCGTCGATGCGACGCAAGCCGAGAGAGCCTGCGAGATTCTCTAGAGCGACGGCAAACGTCGTGACACGTTTATTTTCGAACCCCCGGCACTTAAAGAGAAGAGAAAAAAGGAGGAGGAGTAGGAGGAGAGACGGCTCTCTCTCGTAAGTGGCTTTCAGGGACGTTAAACGAACGAAACGTGATTATTTGCCGTTCTCTCATTGTTCATACATTATCGATGACGTCGTCACGGTCACGCTTGTACTCGTGTTTGCGTTCCAGCGCGTATGTAACACACGCACGCACGCCCACTGACGCGTAATATAAGGTGACTCACCGTTTGTAGAGAGTAAATCGACCAATGGTAGTATCAGCAGCACCAACACCGACACTGGGGCGAGGATCCCTTTCCGACGTGGGAATGCCAGTTCCTGCATCCTGAAAAATCGGCACATTTTCATTAGGCGCGTCGAAATGACGCGTGACGGCACGCGCCTTGCCGGAAGTGACGGAAGTCGATCGAGCGAATAATCGCAAATCCGATAACGAGCAATCAAGTCCAAGATTCCAAGATGAGACACGCACGCGAAGGGGCGAGTGGCGCGAATATTAAAAGTAGATCGCGCTACGCGAGTGGCGTAAAGTGGCACGGACCACGTGTTTCTCGACGATAAAGCGCGCAGCGAGCAGTGGAGGGGGGAGTCGTAGGTGAAGCGATGTATAGCCCGATAAGATAAGTAGATGCGCGGAGTTTATTTACCTCGCGGCGACAAAAGTGCCGCGGCGAGACGACGGCGAAGTCGGAGATAACGCACGAACAATGATTCGCGCTGTCGAGCGGTGACGATTGAGCATAAGAAAAAAAAAATATATATATATATATATATATAAAAGCGGTGCATATATATAAAAGTAGTCCGGTACACGCTAGATTCCTCGGGGCGAAGAGCAGCGGCGACCGACGCGAGTTGGAGGAATGAATCTCGCGTACTCCGCCGGCACACATCGTGCAGAACCACGTTCAGCGGGAAAAGCTGCTCTGCAACTGTTGCCAAATTCGTGGATCTGATTGATGCGTGCGTTTGGATTCAGCCAGATTTCAGAGCATACGCCCCGACGAGATTTCGCGAATTTTACAGCAGTTGTGAAGCGACTTTTTCTGCAATCGAATGCAAGCATTCATTTCCGATCGATTGAAACATTGGCTGCGCTTAGTGGAGAAAGCCGTTTCTCGCAGCTGTTGGGGGGACACTCGTGAGGCCCGATGGGCGTGTGCCTTGAATCTCGGCTCGATCTATTGGAGCGTGCCGCAATGAGAAGAACACGCGAATTTTCCAATTTGCAACTTTCCCCGCCGCACGCAGCCGTGTTTTCATCCGTGTGTAGTCGGGATCCGCTTCGAGCTCGGGCGAGACACAGGCCGAATGAAAATACCGCCGCTTTTCGCGCTCGTTGAAGAGCGAGAGAGAGAGAGAGAGAGAGAGAGAGAGAGAAGGGGGGGAGAGAGAGAGAGAGACTCCACCGCGAGGGGTGCAGAGGACGGACGCGATAAGAAAGGAAAGCGTGACGAGACGGTGGCGAAGGTAAAGGATGCGTAAATTCTCGGGACGATTTTTCCCAGGACATCCCTCGCGTCGCGTCGCAGCGGGCGTCTCGGAACGCTTAATTCCGCCTGTTCGAATTAAGCACTCCACGTTCCTACGAGCGTGCCGAATGCTTCGAACGAACTGAACGCTGGGACAGCTCAGCGCTGAGAGCGTCGAAGTGTGTAGGAGGTTGACGGATTTAGGAACAGGCATGAAGGATCGCCTTCAAAGAAAGTTAATTTTGACCTTCAGAAACGTTCAATCCACTTTTAATCCACAAACACAATTGAATATCCAAAGAACGCAATATACACAAAAAAAAAAAGTCGTTATGACGGCGATAGCCAGAACAATTGCGCGCGCGGTAACCTTAAAGTCGGACGGAAATGTTGAAAGCCCTCGGATAATGCTTCAAACGACGCGACGGAAATCTTGCCGAACGCTCAATTAGCGCCCTTCGGAACGGAGATCTTGCGCGCGAGCGAGCGATTTTCGTTAGAAGCACGAGGGATCGCGACCGCGGTTTCTCGCTCTCCGACAATCGGGTTAAGAAAGTGGACGACACCACAATGAATTTGAACGTCGACGTTTATCGATCGAAACGCATCGATGGCACTGATTACGATGTACAAGAGTAGCGAGCGGGCTGCACGCGAATGCAGCAGGCGTACGCGACAATGTAACAGAGAAAAGAAAAAAAACCTGAGTGCGATGAACAGCTAGAATTATGCGACACACTACAGAAGAATAATGCGATTGCCAGATCACCGAGATCTTGTAGATTACGGCGGTTAGGCAACACGCACGAATTTTTGATTGGCTGCCCGACATCGGATGATCCGCGGCAACAAGAAATCACGTGAAAAGATTGTGACTGACAGCAAAACGATGCGACAGCAAGCAATGCGAGCACGAGCGGGACACGTGCCGAGCGATCGCGAGACAGAAACATTGAACTTGTAATCATCACCGCTCGTACACGTCGATCGGTCGAATCCCAAACTCCGCCGGAGCGGGATTCGCGCTCGGGTAACATTCCGCTCTTTCCAATTTCCCGACGAGCGACGTCGGTCATTCCGACGACGAAATACCGAGAGTCACCGACCGCCCCGGAGAAGTCGGCGGCGCCGTCGCCGCCGACACACCACGTTGGCTCGCGACTAGTGTAGCGAGTGATTTGCTCGATAAAATCAATAGCTCGAAAGAAAGAGCGCCTGATTCCCCCCTCCTCTCCACAACCCCACGGACTTGAGTCAAAGGGACCGCCGCGCCGGCGTGCACATATAAGCGCGCGCTCATCAACGCGTGACATTTTCCTCGTTCCCGTTCCAAAGATCGGAAATGCCCCCTTCTCCCCCTACCGACTCGCGCGCTCGCTAAAACTGCCTGCGTCATGCTGTATGGTCACAGGTATCGAAACTTAATCAGCCGCACGATAAAATCAATGGCACGGAAAGAAGAACGATTAATCGGACGGTGTGACTTGCAGATCGCGCAGCTCCAGCGTCTCTCGCTTTCTCTTTCACGTGGAGAAATACTAGAGTTGAAAAATCCCTCTCTCTCTCTCTCTCTCTCTCTCTCTTTGACGCGACGTTGCATTCTCGCTTAATTTACGTAGAAAACGTGAACGGTCGCGTGCGACGAGTGAAAAGTCGCAGGTAGCCGAGGGAGAGAGAGAAAGAGAGAGAGAGAGAGAGAGAGAGAGCGCCCCGACGAAACGCGCGAACGCAAACACACGCATATCGAATTGCTGCACTTATTTACCGCATCTTCGGTGGTTGAAATTCGAGCTGAGTGCAATCCGGTCTCGCAGTCGGGGTTGACGCACGAACGCGTTGAGGAGCGCGTCGGGAGATCGGAAGAAGAAAGCTCGCGATGACGCTGCTTGTCGATGAGAAGATCTCGCGTGCGTCGCGAGGAGAGCTGGCCGAGGACGGCTGGCTACGTCGTCGGCATCGAGAGACGCGGCCGGGACGACCTCGCTGACGATGCTCGTCGTCGTCGTCGTCGTCGTCGTCGTCGTTGCACTCAGAATCTCGACGAGTCGAGGCGAGCAAACGGGCGCGCGGCAAAAGGGAAAGTCGCTGGAGCCTTCGAAGGAAGACGACGCGATGCAACGCGCCGCGGGGTGCCGCGAGGAATGAAAACAACGGGCGAGTCGTCGTCGTCGTCGACGTCGGCGACCGACTATAGAGCGGCGTCGGGCGACAAGCGTCGTCCACCACGTACGTATCGCCACGTGAATGGAAAGAGAACGACGGGCGCATTATTATTTCACGAGGTACACGTGTACCGCTCCGCTTCGTTACGGCGCGACGCGCCGCAACCGTCGCGACTTTTTCTTCTCCTCGTCCTCTCCTCGCCCCCTCCTCTCTCTTCTTTCTTTCTCTCGTTTCCGCTCGCGATTTTCGCTGAGATCCGCGAGCACTCGTAGCCCACATTCGAATGCGCGCGTTTACGCACTCGTGGCCGCCGCCGCGCGCCAGTATCGATCTTGACATTTCGCGCTCTGGTAACACCCGCTCTCTCTCTCTCTCTCTCTCTCTCTCTCTCTCTCTCTCTCTCTCTCTTCTCTCTCTCTCTCTCTCTCTCTCTCTCTCTCTCTCTCTCTCCTCTCTCCTCTCTCTCCGCTGCTTTCGGCCGGGCTATATTCGGTATTAATGATCAGCCTGTAGTCGTCGGCCACGGAGGTAGTCGGGTTATTAATAACGACTGCGAATAGATAATATCGACGACCTAAACTCGTCGCGACGCTGTCTCTTTTTCTCGTAGTTTTTCGGGAAAGTCGACCAAGTCGGAGAATTTCCATGACGCGCGGGGATTTTCCTTCGTCCCGACGAGGGAATATCGATTGTCCATTTTCAGCCGCAGGCTGCTATCTATATGGAGAATATCGACGACTCGGTCTTTCATAATTTTTCCAACAGATTCTCTGGGAATCGGAGGAGAAAGGGAGAGAGAGAGAGAGAGAGGGAGTGAGAAAGACAGGAAGGACACGGTGCATAGATTTTCCTTTCTCGACTTGGAACATCGAGCGTCTTTTCTCGTGGTCGCCGATCAGCCGAATGAAATTTTCCACGGCCTGATTAAACGAAAAGATATCACGAGCCTTCACGAGGCCAAAGTCGGAGAAATCGCGCTCCAGCTGGAATCGATTACGAGCGGAGTGACATTTTCCAGCTTTTCGTTACATGTCGCAAGTCGTATATTCACCGACCGAGATCCTTACTTTCAATATCGAATCATCCCCTAACTACCCCCGACCGGCGTCCAGACATTCAAGCAATCACCATTATTCTTGTCCGTCCCGCATAGCGTCCGCGCGCGGTTGAAGCGACATTCAATAGCGGCGGCAGGGAAAGAAAGAGAGAGAGAGAGAGAGAGAGAGAGAGAGAGAGAGAGGAAACCCGTATTACAGGTAGGACTATAATTCCGAAAGGGACAACGAATCGCCTGACCATGGTGATTTAACTCGGGCTATTGGCGTGACCCCCCTCGTGTCGGGAACATGGAAAATCTATTTACAAGAGAGGATGGACAGGCCGGACGGATGGACTAGCTGTGTTCGAAAATACGTCGCACGTCGCGCATAACAAATCGCGGACTATACACGCAGGTACACGTAGTCGATGCAATCAGTCAGTAGTCAGTCAGTCAATCAATCGAGCCAGTTGTTAGTCAGTCAGTTTTCTTTTTCTTTTTCACACAAGACCGCCGCGTTATCCTGCGTGAAAAATCTCATGATTGCGCAATCCCTTGCGCACGAATATAAACATCATCGTACCCCGGCGGACGGAAATCAACGGGACCAACCGCAGCGTCAAAGGATTATCAGATTTCGATTATTTTCAGCGCGCCATCGCGAACGCGAACGCGAACGCGAACGGGTGTTGCGTTACGCAATGGAAACGCCAGCGGAGAGTGCGGGAGTGAACGCTATCCCGCGTATCGTGGAGAAAAAAAGAGAGGCAGAGAGAAATTAACACGCGCTTTGACGAATGGGCATTAAAGAGCAGCGGCGGCAGCGGCGGCGAACGTCGTCGGCGAAGCGAATGTTTCGCGGCGCGCGATGATGATACGTAGGAAAACACGCGCGCGCATAGATCGAGTTTCCGCCCACTTTGACGAGCCCGATAGATATTACGGGCACAACGCCGCGAATAAATGCTGCGAAGCACGCGCACGCACACGCACACGCACGCACGCACGCACGCACGCACGCACGCACGCACGCGCGTTCGCGAGACACGGAAGGCGGCGCGCGGTATCACCCCGAGGGAGAGATCGGGTTCCCTTCTGTAGCTTCCAGCCGGCAACGTCCTGCGAACGGTATATACACGCGTTGCACTGTTATTTATCTTAAGTGCGATCCGGTTATTGATCCTTAAGGCCGCCGGCTCGGCTCGCTGAATAAATAACGAGTGAAGTAAATAAATAGGCGCGCGCGGAGGAGGCAGAGAGGGGGGCCGCCGACGCCGCCGCCGCCGCCTCCTCCGTTCGGCTCTCCATGCCGCCCGCGCGATTATCTCAAGTAAGGATATTATGATTCGCAGGTGGTTATCGCGCCGCCGTGCGATTTGCGATACGCGTTATCGCGCGGGATCGACGATAACCGGCTACTTCGAGAGGGGCGACTTCTCCCTCGTCGATCGTACGGACGCGCGAGGTTCTTCTTCGCGAAAAGACCATGTTTTTTTCAGTTTACCGAGTCGATCGCCATGTCGCTCTCTAAAGCGAGTGTTAATTAAAACGTGGACGAAAAGTGGCGGTATTTCGCTGTAAAGATCCCCGCTCGAGGAAGAGTTTCATTCAAGAAACTCCCTCCCGGTGGACCAAAGAAACGGATGCATTCTGAAATTTGCGCGGAAAATGACGGACGCTCTACTTTTCCAGCGAAACTGCAACCCCAAGAAAGTTAGAGAGAGTGAGAGAGAGAGAGAGAAAGAGAGCACTTGAATTCACACGTGGTCTTTCCGCATCGCGCGAATCGGAGCGCTTACGTGGACGCACACGTGTGCGACGAAGTCGAGCTCTCGATTTCAGGAATAACCGCCGATGGTCGTTTATTATATCGGAATGGTCTCCGGAGTCATGGTCGCATTAGATTCCAATCAGGGACAGATCGATTTGGAAGACCTCTGACATTCGAAATTTTATGCGAGCGTATGCGCGCGCGCACTCTCTCTCTCTCTCTCTCTCTCTCTCTCTCTCTCTCTCTCTCTCTCTTTCTCTCTCTGCTCACATCGGCACGCTTCTTATTAAATAATGTATCTCGCATCGCTCTCTTCAAATTATCGCGCAAACCGATGGGAACGGTAATTACGACGCAAAGCAATCAATTGAATCATATTCAGATATTGACAATAGCGACAATTATAATACAAATTATAGCTAATTAATTGCATCGGACGCGCCGGCCGAGCACAATAACTGTCGCGCGGCGGCTGAAAATACGCGCGCATACGGAAATGTGTTTAGCCTCGACAAAAAAAAGCCCCATCGCCGGCTGGCGCGTTCCATCCATGTCCATTCATCCATCCACGTCGAAGCATTCGGCAGGCGACGTCTCATTAGTGTCTCTCACGAATACATAATCGACAGTACTAATCGATAAATTCTGGCAGACAGTCGTATGTGCCAACATGGTCTCTCTCTCTCTCTCTCTCTCTCTCTCTCTCTCTCTCTCTCTCTCTCTCTCTCTCTCTCTCTCCCCCCCCCCTTGTCTCTTACTCCCTTGTGACGCACGTACGCGCGCACACACACACACAGACACACAGGCGCGAGATACGTACGGTCATTCTGTAAATCCCGAAAACTCGCGTATTAATAAAGCGATAAATCACGTCCGCGTCGGGACATCTATTCTCGCGCCATATAATTTATCGAGGTCCCGCGGATGTCGTAGAAAAGGGAGCAAGAAAGAAGGAAATATAAACGCGCGAGGCCGAGATGATCTCAGGTACCCTTCTCCCTCCGGGCACCCCCTGCCCTCCCCGCCGATCATGACTCAGGAACAGGTCGGCGCGATGAGAAGGGAAAAATCCCGTCGTAGTTGCGCACACCCGGAGCGGGACGGGACAAAAGGCGACCGCGGAATCTCTGCGAGTCGTCCCGGGTTTGTAGGCAACGTGTGCGCCTCGGTCAACCTTTAATCTCTCCACTGTATCTTTATTATCGCGATCGGAACGGTCGGAAGGGGAGAATCTTTCGCTTTGGCCGATTGAATAGCCAATCAAAACGATCGATACGGCCGATCAACCCTCACGCGGCTCGCAGCGGCGGCGCGACACGACGCGACGCGACGCGAGGTGTTCCGTCCTTTTCTCTTTTCCTTCAGTCGCGCTTTCCGCACTCAGCTTTCTTCTCCCCCTGCCCGCCCCGTTTTTCTTTTTCTCTCTTTTTTTTTCTTCTTGTTTTCTTTACATTGTGCGAGAAGGTGCTCGTGTTTCGCATCGCGAGGACGGAGAGCGCGAGAGGAGAGATGCTAATAAGAGCGACGCGTCCGTTAATTGAGAGAGAATGAATAATTCTGTTGTGCGAGATCGATTCCTCGTGAATGTAATTTTCCTCAACTTTTCTCATTATTTTTACTTTTGCATGAGCACTTCTCATCTTCGTCCCGTTTCTCCGGCGCGTTTCTCGTAAATTCACCGAGCGCTCGTTCATGACGGTAAGTTTACCGGAGTTCTTGCCATCTCTTTCCCCGATGCGCGCTGTTAAATATTTCCGCGAAGGAACTTGAAATTAGGATTCGGAAGCTACCTATTTGTATCCTCGCTGAAGAAAAATCAGATCGAGCACAAAATGGGCCTGTAATCGTGAAAAGTAGGAAACGTACTTTGCGGCTCCGAAGGCGCAATTGCGTCTTTCTCCGTCGAACTTTTGTCCCGAGATTTTCAGGAAGGAAATTTTCAATAACAGCGCGAAATTCATCAATCGCGTAAGCTCTTCGCGGAGCTGCGCTGACGCGTATTTCATTTCGAAAACAAAGTGCGCGTTGACGCGCGTTGACGAGCGCTCCGAAAGCGGCGTCCTCTCGGAATCCTCCTGAACTCACCGGAACTTGGCCTATCCTCGTTCAAAAGTCGCAGGTGAAACCATCAACGCGACGGTTCGTGAATCAGCCAACTACAAACCACCACGGTCGGCCGGGGCGGCCCTGGCGGTTGCGGTTGTAGGGTCAAAGTTACAGCACTACAAAGTCGGGGAAAGCCCGTTCTCTTCTCTCTCTCTCTCTCTCTCTCTCTCTCTCGCTCTCTCTCTCTCTCTCTCCCTCGGTCGCACGATAGGCTTCTCGCGATTCTCACGATTCCCGAATCGCCACGACGCCGCGGAAAGGATCGAACGAGAAGCGGCTTCGCAGCGGCAAGGACGCGACCGCGAAGGGAAGAACGAAGCGATCGCCGCAGCACAGAGAGAAAGAGAGAGAGAGAGAGAGAGAGAGAGAGATAGAGAGAGAGAGAGAGAGAGAGAAAAAGACAGAAAGGGCTGAACGTTGTTGGAGGCTATCGCTCGGCGACAGGATCGGCTCCAACACCGAGTCGGAGATCTACGTTGCGCAAGGATCAACTGGCGGCGATGGACTAACCTTCACGCGCTAGTATCCGTCACCGTGGCCAAGAGAGTACCCTGGTGCAGAAGCAATCACATGATGCACTAACACCGTACGATGCACAACACGGCCGTAGCACCGGCTTGAATCCGTCGACGAGGCATCGGTCGGGACGCCGAGCGATCGTCGTCGGCCTCGGCGCGGAGGTCGCACGGAGGACAGGAGGGAACGTCGAGCAGGGCGATCCTTTGCGAGTGGCCAGGGCGCTCTTCCTTTCTCTGTCTCTCTCTCTCTCTCTCTCTCTCTTTCTTTCTCCCTTTCGCTCACTCTCCCTCTCTCTTCCTCACTCGTTCGCTCCCACCCTCTCGATGAGCCTCGACGGCGCCGAGAGACGTACGTAGCGGAACGAAGCGTAGCGAAACGATCTCGACGGCACGACGGACGCGAGCACGACGTTGACGCTGCCACGACAGGACGAGGACGACGACGACGACGACGACGACGACGGCTGGCGAAATGGATTCGGTGACACGACGACGCGACGTACGCCCGTGCGTCGTCTCTCCGGCGACGGTGCGGCGCGGCCGAGGCTCGGTAACAATGGCGGCGTCCGACGTGCGCCCACGGATGGTGGAGGCGCCGTGCGTCGATAGATGTCCCTGCGAGACGGCCATGTGCAAGGCGCGCGCGATTTTTTCGCGTCTCGAACGAAAGCGGGAACGCGACGAGAGATCTCGCTACGATTCCTTGTGTCGGCGACCGGATCCTCCCCGCAAATTCGAGCAAGCAGTCGCGCTTTCGATATTATTTCCGTCGCGGTCGCCGCGACGTTCGAGATGGACTCGTCGCGCGCGTGATGCGGCGGACGCACGTTCGACGCGTACCTTCGCGACGAGACGTTTCTCTTATCGACGATCCGAAGAAGCTCCGAGAGTATAGTATACTTGAGCGGAGAAAATCCATCTCGCGGGACGCAAGAGATTGGATTCCATCCTCATTGCTGCTCGGGGGTGATGGAAAAATGCCGATAGTCGGCTGTATCGACTGTACGTAAAAGCGAACCTCGACGGAAAATGGCGGAATCGGGCTCTTGCGTGCTGCTGCCATCTCGGGGTCGGAGCGCGTAATCATCGTCGTCGCGACGGACGCCGTGTCGCGATTTACGTCGATAGTGCCTGATCGAACGACGGCTCGAAGCCCGGCGCGACGTCTTCGATAAATACGTTTATCTACTAGTGCGCATTTCGTTTGTGGAGGAATGAAACAACCGCGACGTGCCGATAAAATGTGCGCTTCGGCGAGTAAGAGTGGGTACGTACGAGCGTGGACTTTTGCACTCGGTAGGATCGACGCGGCGCGGCGTTCGCAGGTCGATGATGCGCCATGCGCAACGCGTAAAAGCGACACGTGCTCCGCTTTTGCGTGCGCGTCGCCGCGATCCGGGAGATGAGAGAAACATGGAGAGGGACATGGAAAGGAAAAGTCGGGACGCCGGGAAATTCGGCGAAAACGTCTTTCGGAAATAGATCTTTTCTCAAGTTTCATTTTTGAATAAAAGGTAATCTGAGACAGAAGAATAAAAGGTAATCTGAGACTCCGCGCGTTCTCCGTTTGTGACATGCAAATGCAGTCCGGAACACAAAGAAAACGACCATTCCGTTCCCATGATCGGTGAAGTGTACTTATAGACATGTAAAACAACTTAAGTGGCAAAACACGCGTAATTGTCGAATAATCGTCCTTATCGCGCAATTATCAAGCGTAATTATCAAACTATTTTAGCGCATAATTTTCGATGTAATTAGGAATCCGTGAGATACGTTATCATGAGTTACTTAACTTTTTTACAACTCAGCACATTTTTTACAAACACATTTTTTACTCAACACATTCGTGACTGATGGGAAATTTGCTCGAATAATTTCCGCGGGAACAAGTTTCCCCGCTGATTCACTTTGCCCGCCGAGGTACCGAGAATGACTTTGACGGAATGACGAGGCAACCGGCATGGCGGGACGAGTGCTCCGTTTTTAGGACGCGCGACCGCAGAGCGCTCGAGTCGAAGGATAACAATTAAAGGCCGCTCGGGTAAAAGTCTCATCCTACACGATAGTCGATAATCCCGGCTGCAAAGGTCGAGTATACCGGGTGTTTCAGACCACCCGGGTCACCCGATTTTTTCGTTAACGCGACATTTTAGAGAAAAATATTTCAGACGAAAGTTGTAGCGCTTCAAAGCGCTTCTATTTACTGACGCTATGAATTTGACCCTATTTGGGGTAACCTCGAAAGGTCCAGTCAAGATCAACATAAAAATCTTAAATGGATACTCCAATTTTTTATTACATCATCTTTTTCTAGCAATTAATTTGAACCACTTTTGTCTGAAACATTTTTTTATTTACCTAACTTTTTTTGAGATATTTAAGGAAAACTTGATAACTTTTTCAATATTTAACGATCACGATATCTAACTATTCGTCAGAAGAAAAAGTGGTACCAGACTTTTCTGCTCTATTTAGTCTCGAGAATATATTGTTCCAATAGCGCCCTGAATTTGATGATCTTGAAATTTCCAAGAATCAACAAGTTTCCATTTGAGATTTTTATGTTGACTAGACTCTTCTAGGTTATATATCCCAAGATCAAATTCATAGCGTCAGTAAATAGATCCTTTGAAGCCCTGCAACTTTTGTCTGGAACATTTTTCTCCAAAATGTCGCGTTAACGAGAAAATCGAGTGACCCGGGTGGTCTGAAACACCCGGTATACATTCACGTGTACAGTCAGGATATGTGTCTGTCGTCGGGCTCGCGTCTGCAGAGAGCAAGGAGAGTGCGCAAGGCTTCCGCGGGAGCAGCTGAAAGTGTGCGCGAGGAAGAACTCGCCCGCGCGAGTCAGGTTTCACTCTCGCGGGAGTCGAGGCCGAATAATCGGAAAATCGATAGAGTAATAATAAACCCGCGCCTTTCTCGCGCAGCAAACCCGAACGATCGCCGACGACCTCGCGCCTCGTCGAATCCGTTCACCCCCCGCCCCCATCCCTCCGCCCAAGACGCAACACACTCGCCGTCGCCGCTGCGAATCTCTCGTCTTGGAGTCGTCGAGGACGACTCGCGCGAGACAGGCGCCAGAGACCCACGTGCGAGGGGGCTGGCGACCGGGATCCCGACGTGATCGATAACGGGGGTGTGTATCGACGGGATATTTCACTCTCGCTGGATTCGCGCCGACCACCACCACCGCCGCCGCCGCCGCGACCGAGGGGATGCTTCGCGCCCGCGCGCCGCGACCGGACGGGCTCGGCGGGCCGCGTTTCTCTCGCGTAGGTGCGCGACCCACCGCGAGAGACAGGTCGAGTCGAACAGTCGTCGACGGGTCGGCGGAAAAGTGCTCTCCCGATCGTCCATCCTCGCGCGTACGCTCGCTTTCTCAACCCTGATACCCGACACGTGATCCCCCCCCCCCCGCCGCCGCCTCGTCTCGGCGGCTCGTCAACCGTCGGCAACGAAAAGCCGCGCTTGTCTCGTTGAGAGCGACCCTCCTCTCGTCGCTCGATCCCAAAGATAAGGCTTCGCCACGTGGGTCAGATATTACAAGCGAGCTCTTGTATGCGTTGTGTTTAATTGTTTTTTTGTGATATCGCGACTGGTCGGGACGCTTATCTCGAGACGCTCGTTTCGCTTCGCGACAATCGGGACGCGCCAGTTGCGGGGCGTGTGCACGGCGAGATCGCTGTCACCTCGGGGATCCTTATCCCCGTCGGGCGAAGTCGACCCGGGCGGGATGACAGCCGGATAGTGTGCATCGACGTGTCGATAACCGCGCACGTCTTTCCCTCCAAGTGCTTGCGGACTTGTTCCCTCGGATAAGGCGCAACCGCGCACGTGAGTATGCCCGTCGCGATTCGAATCCCAGTTCGAGTTCATCGTCGGCTCTTATGAAAACTCTCTCGTCCTCGCGGCGATAAAAACGGACGCGATCCGATATATCGAACAGCCGCGGGGCGCATTAACATTCCGGCTCGCGACACATCTAGCGCAGCGTGAGTCGCATTGCTCGCGCGATTTTATTCAGAGCAAGAATAACAATTTCGGTTTTTGCTCTTGCTTGTTTTTGTGCCACGTCAGCGACTTTGTCATCGGTTTAATTGCACAGCGGTGCGGAGAGATCGATATATTTGCGTTCTTAAACGCCGTGACGCGTCACGAGGAGGAGAACAAGAATAAAAAACGGCAACGCACACACACACACACACACACGACATCTCCCCCGATGATCTCGATGATAGTTCGCCAACGGGAAGGTTAATCGCGCCCCTTTATCAATCGGGGGGGTGGGGGGAGGGTGTTATCGAGGCCACGAGGACGCTCTTTGCGCAGGTGCCTCGCACGGCATGCGAGACCTTTCGATCGTCCTTTCTGCAAAGAACTTTGTCACAGCCTAATGCTGCGAGTCGAGTCGGTCGTCCCGGCGACGGAGCGCGATCGAATCGGTCTTGATAAACGAGGAGGAAGAAATCGAGAGAGAGAGAGAGAGAGAGAGAGAGAGAGAGATTAAGAGCGAGAGGAAAAGGGAAAGAACGAGGCGCGCGCGCGCGCGCGCGCGGAGCCGCGTGATTGCGCGTTTGAAAACTAATTCGCGAATCTCGCGAGCTATCGATTAACAGCAACGAGCCAGTGCTTTTACAGCGAAGGATAACGCGGACGCGTGTTCGCCGAGGCGGTGCGATCATCCTCTCGTTATCGATCGCGTGTACGCAATATACGGACGATTCGCGACGACGCGAGAACGCGAATTCGATTGCTCAGCCGAAAGAGAGAGAGAGAGAGAGAGAGAGGCAGACGAAAATGGGGTTAAGGCGAATTAAGTGAAACGTCGCTGACGAAAGTGTCGCGATTACGAGAGACGGTTCTTCCGTTTCTTCCACCTGCGCTGACCTTAGGCCGAAATGAAAATTTGCGTGCCGGCGGCACACGCGGGTTTTCCCGTTCGCGAAGCCTCTCACGGGGGTTGACTCTCGTTAATCCTCCCCAGCGCAAGAGGAGAAAGTTTCTCAGCGGGGAATGTTCTCGGATATTTTCCCCTCTCGCGCGAAGGATACCTCTTCCCTCGGCTCCTTTAAGCAGCGGGGGAAAATGCGCGCGCGGTGTCCATAGATGAGTACTTGAAGAGATTAACGCGATAATCGCGCCGCGCTGATTTCCGCTGATTATCTCAATTCAAAGTGGAGTTGTCGAATAAGTGCAATTCGCGAATACGAATGTTTATTAGCTCGGTTTTCAGTCGGCAATTGTTTATGCGTCATAAGCGGATGAATGAATGAATGAACGACGGTGATTCGCGGAATGCGAATAAGGACGAGAACGTGTATTCCTCCGGTGCGCTTCGATGTTGATAAGAATACTTACGCGCAATAGAGATGTACACCCCCTCCTTTCGACCTTCCCTCTTCACCGTTCTAAATTGGCTTCAACTTCATAGACTAGCGAACGACGAAATTAGAACGTCGTTCTACGGTATTATTGTAGCATCGTGGAACTTTGCGGTTAACGCTTATCTCTCTCTTCCTCCCTCTCTCTCTCTCTCTCTCTCTCTCTCCCTCTCTCTCTCTCTCTTTTCCTTCCGCGTGTTTGCATTAAAGTTTAAACGCGGCGGAGTCGATGGCGCACACATGTGCCGCGCGGTCATAAGACGGATGACATTTCTCGCCACTGGCAGATATCGATGAGGACGTCGAGCATGGTGCTGAAGTCGGACAACGGAAACGACGACGTCGACGACGTCGGCCCCCGCATGCAGCGCGCGAGCACGATCGACGAGCAGCAAGGACGACTCGCGACGACTTGGGTGCATTAGAGCGCGGGTGTGTTGTCGGCGGGGGCGATCGAAATGTCGTTTTTCGGGCGGAAAATGGGCGGCGGCGGCGGCGGCGGCGGCGGCGGTGGTGGAGGTGGCGGAGGTGGTGGAGGTACCGAACATACCGGCCGCAACCTGCAAGATGGCCTGTTCCAAATCGCGTCTCAGGCCTGCCATATCCTGGTTCAGGTGAGTCGATCCTCGCGTCGGGACGCTCGAAAGATCGCGGGAAGTATTATTAAATGTACCCGCGAACGAAGTCTCGAATCAAGTCGACCGATCGATAAAGAGAAAATGGCGCGGCATTTTTTGTCGAGGTGAACAACACGCACAACGTCTCCTACGGCGGTAGCAATAATGTGAACAACATCGCGTACTCCAAGTATTCCACCGCCGGCGGCGGCTCCACCGTTACGGCCACTTCATCGTCGACGAAGGGAGCCACCACCGCCAAGGCGTATCCGAAGTACGCGGAGCCGCGCGACAAGGATCAGGATGTAGTGGTGTTGCTGCCGCACCGCAAGAACCGAACGCCGCGGCTCAAGCATAAATTGTCGGTACGTCGGCGCGCTTTGCCCTGCGCTTTGTTGTCTGCAAAGTTCATGGAAAGTTCACGGGCCGCGTCGCGTCAAGGGCGAAGGTGCTCCGCCGAGTTCGCTCCTTCCCCCGCGTTTGCCCGAATCAAAGTATATCGCGTCTCTGAAATTGTTTACGACGAACTGAAATTATTTACTTGAAGAATTTATTTACTTGAAGAAATTATTTACTTGAAGAATTTGGAGCTCGAAATATGCAAAACAAGTGACTCGTTGTTTGTCTGCAAGCTTTATTTATCTTATATTTAGTTACTATTATCTCGTATATTATGCTTCTTGTCATCCTTGATTGATATTTATCTCGTCACTGACCATAATCATTGGACCATTTGCTGACGTTCGCTTGACTACAAATCGCGAAAAGAGAAAGACTGAGAAGCGTGGATTTTGCGATGAAAAATCGACGTTCGCCTCATGCAAATCGCGAAAAGAGAGAAACAGAGAAGCGTGAATTTCGTCATGAGAGATCACTTTGTCCCCTTGAATTTCACGTTCTTTATACGACTCAATATGCAGATGCCGATTTTTTGCGCGTCGACTATACAGTATGTGTAAAGTCCGACCCCACCACCCCTGGATCTCGGAAACGGCTTTAAATATGGAAAAATGTTTCGGACAAAAGTTGTAGGTTATTGAGGGGGACACATGATAAAAATATGGACTTGACCTTGACTGCCTTATCAAGGCATGGTATGATCGATGTTTTTTTAAATGGAACCTTCTATTTTTTATCTTTTTTATCGCATATTCTTATAGCCCTTTCGTCGAGACGTTTTCAAAACACTACCTATTTTTGTTTTTCGCGCAAGCCATTCCCAAGACATGAAGCTTCAAAGTTGACATATGTCGCCGACATTCGTATTACCCAAGGTGTACCGCGTGGAGGTTGCACGGTCGAATTTACGCTTCTTGCGTGTGCGTGCGTGCGTGCGTGCGTGCGTGTGTGTGTGTGTGTGTGTGTGTGTGTGTGTGCCATAGTAGAGACAAGGAGCGTGTTCGTCACTTCCGTAGTATTTTTTAACCCCAACTTTGAAGCTTCATATCTTGGGAATGGCTTGCATAAAGAACAAAAATAGGTAGTGTTCTGAAAATATCACGATAAGGGCTACAAGAATGTGCAATAAAAAATAGGAGGTTCCATTTAAGAAAACATCGATCACATTGACCTGGCCTTGATAAAGTCACTCAAGGTCAAGTTCATATTTTTGTCATGTGTCCCCCTCAATATCCTACAGCTTTTGTCTGAAACATTTTTCCATATTTAAAGCCGTTTCCGAGATCCAAGGATGGAGTCGGACTTTATAGATACCCTGTATATCTCCGGTGAATCACACGATTTCACCGATTTCTGTTCGTTTTGTGTTCGCAACAAAGCGAAACAAAGCGCGCGCGCGCGCGAGCTGTTTAGCATGCTGATGAGATAAAATCCGCGTTTCGCGCATCTTCGCCATTTTAATCGTGCTAGAAATAATCGCAGCACGAGTCATCGCCACGGATCTATCCGGCATTGAATTTCCCCCCTTGTGATCTCAATTTGCAGTCTTATTGTGTACGCGCGATAAGCCACGCACCATATCGCGCTCGTTTCGTCCTCGTAGATTCTCTGAGTCTGTCTCGTTGTCGGCGACTCTTTCACTCTCTCTCTCTCTCTCTCTCTCTCTCTCTCTCTCCCTTTCTCCCCCCCTCGTTTTCTTTCTTCTTCTCATCGCCCACGTCGGATTTTCGCGAAAAACCGTGGCGCGTGACGCACGCTGTTTGCAGACCGTGTCCGAAAACGCACGGCTGGACGTAAACTCGCCGAGCGGCGACGACGACCTGGAATTATGGGACCAGTCGGGATTCATGCTGAGAAGCGACGTGGACGACCCTCTCACGAACGCAAAGTACGTATCTTGGATCGAAGTCACTTGATTAGCAGCGTGTATCTACGATCCACGACGCGGTGGCCAGATTAGCGAACGCTCAAGTTCGACTCTATTAATCACGCGCGGCACCGAGCGGCGATCAAACACGCTGATTGCCACGACGATCGCTAATGATGTAACGTCTCCGTCTCTCAGTGCTTTATGTATAAACTACGTGTGAGAAATTCGATATGTGGCCGAAGAAGACAATGAAACGAGCATCAATGATGATCTCTTCACGCGGCGAGATCCGAATTTATCTTTGACGAGTTGAGATAATTAGTGGAAATCGGCGTGACCGAGTCCGATATATTCCGAGCGTGCTAACGAGAGTGAATTAATCCGTCTGCCGTCCGATTACCCGCACCTGCTTACTTCGCGCAGCCGAATGGGGACTCCCGTTAACTGATCGCTCAATTAACGGAGTTAACAAACCAGCCGGTTAGCTAAGCGAACTAATATCCCGACTCGCACGTCGAAAGGCGCGAGGTAATCTCATCGCGCGATGATAAGCGCGATAATATCTCTCGAGATCCGTGAGAAGCATTCCCACATCCTTGCGGCGAGGATTCTCACGGAAGCACCGTTAAATTGGAAAGACCGCGCGCCCGACCGTTTGACGTACGAAGGACGCCGCGCGTCGCGTACAAGCCAGGATTGTTACTCTTCGGTGCAGCTTCGAAGACCTCTCTTCGCGGCTCCGATATATTCCAAGGATAAAAAGTAAAAAGAAAATAAGAAATGAAAAATCAGGCGATATATCTTTCTCGAAATGTCAAAGTTCGAAGAAACTTGGAAGGTTCGAAGCTTCGAATACGAAGACCTCGACGAATAATTACACAGCTTTGGTACAAACCTAACCCAATAGCGGGATCTTGCAACTGGTTACGCAATCATTACGACAATGACACTGTCGTTGCGCGAGTACAGAGATAATATATGGCAGACAAGACAGGCGCAACGTTGTGCAACGTTGCCGAAAACTGTCGTTATTAGCGTTATTATAGGATCCCGCTAGATCGCGTTATTCCTCCTGTGTGTCGAAGGTGGGGCGCGCAGGGCTGGTGCAGACCCAGTTGCATACCGATCACGATCATCCTGGTCCTGATCGTGCTGGTGGTGCTGCTGCCGCTGTTGGACCACGCGGCGGAGAAGTACGCGCTGAAGGCGGGCGCGTTCGACGACGAGTCCATGTGCATGGATCGTTGCGCGGTGTCCTTGGTGGAGACGATACCGCTGGGCATGAATTACAACGATAACGCGCCGCGGCACGAGAGCATTCACAGCTCTTGGATGGATCTGATCGGGATGGCGCAGGACACGATCGAGATCGCGTCGCTCTACTGGACGATGAGGCGGGAGGACGTGTTTCCCGATGACAGCGCCCAAGAGGCAAGTGGAGAGAGTCCTAGCCGTCCGCACCACGACGAGTTGTCGCGCGATAGCCTCGTGGGACGCGGACTGTTCCCCCCCCCCCACCCGATGATGATGAGGGTGTCCGGATAATTCGCGTCCGTATGACCGCTGATTCTCCGGTCAAACTTGGACCCGGCGGCGGCCCAAGTCGGTTCCGCGGCGAGTGTTATCGTCTTCGGTGAAAAGTGGCCGAGTGGCGGATTGATCGAAACGCGAGGCAACAGCGGCGCGATTCTTTAACTCGATTATTGGTCGATTTACGACACTTTCGTTATTGTCGCGCAGCTTTTGTATACCGTGGAAAAGCTGCGCAACGACAACGAAACTGTCGTCAGGTCGTCAATAATCGAGTCAAAGAATCGCACCACAAGAAGCGCGGCTGTTCGCGGCTCTCCGTTCGCAGGCCAGGTGTCGCCATCGATTGGACTTGACTTTAGCAGAATTAATAATCCGACGCTCGCTATCTAAAGATGCGTTGCGTCTGCGGGCGTTGAGAAATCGCTTCGCGCTTTCTCACGTCCTCGTGACGTCCTCGTCGCGCGGGAGAGATACGGTCGCGCTCGAGTTCCCGCGAGAAAAGCAGCTCCGTTCGTGTGCGAGTGACGCGGGCGCGCGAGTTACAACCGAGTGTCCCCTGTAGGACTGTAGGACCCTGTCCACGTCCTACGTGATATTTGTTTAACAAAAGTCGATACGCCGCAGGGTGAGCAAGTGTTCCAATCGCTCCTAGAGGCTGGAAGGGATAGGCAAATTACGCTGAAAATAGCGCAGAACATCCCCTCGCGCCTGTCGCCGAACACCGACACGCAAATCTTAGCCAGGAAGGCTAACGCGCAGGTAACATGCTCGCGACAGGACACTCGTCGAAAGTCGTTCGACTTTCGACGGGACGGACAGATGGATAGAGTTTGTTTGTCGCGACCGCTCGATCGACGGTGAGATTTTATCCCGGCCTGGAAATCACCGGATAATTCGCCTCTCTGCGCGAGCGAACGAGAGCGTACGATGTATTTGATTACGTATGATTTGATTTCGCGCGATATTAATATAGCAATATGTATGAGATACGCGCGAAGCACGAAGGGAGAGAGAGAGAGAGAGAGAGAGAGAGAGAGAGAATTGGAGAGAAATGTACTTGCGCATGTCTTCTCTCTGCCTCATCACGCAGGTGAGAAGTTTGAATTTCGCTGCCTTGCTGGGCGGCGGGGTGCTCCATACCAAGCTGTGGCTCATCGATCGCACTCACGTATACGTAGGCTCGGCGAATATGGACTGGCGATCCCTCTCGCAAGTGAAGGAGCTCGGCCTGCTGGTTCTCAACTGTTCGTGCTTAGCGAACGATTACGCCAAAATATTCGATGTGAGCATCTCGGCTGTGGGGACGCCATAGAGAGGAAGCCAGAGCCCAGAGAAGTTCTCGTTCTCTCTCTTTCTCTCTCTCTCTCTCTCTCTCTCTCTCTCTCTCTCTCTCTCTCTCTCTCTCTCTCTCTCTCTCGGCTTCCTCTCGCGTCGCGTCGCTCAGCCTCGCGAGGACTCGTTCGTTTCTTCGCTTCTGTGCAGGTATACTGGAAGTTGGGTCAAGACGGTAAAGTGCCTTCCACGTGGCCGGACTCCCTCAGCACAAAGATTAACTTAGATAACCCCATGAATTTTACGTACATGGATAATAAGTACAGGCTGTTCGTCGCGGTTAGTAATCGCCAAGTGATAGCCGAGTGATAGCGCCAAGCGCGGGGCGCGTTCGTTGCTTGATTCGTTGATCCGCGACAAGAAAACGTCATTGCAGAGCTCACCCCCGGCCTTCTCGCCGAGAGGCAGGAGCTACGACCTGGACGCGATCCTGCACTGCATCGCCAAGGCGGAGAAGTTCATCTACATCTCCGTGATGGATTACTTCCCGCTGACCATCTATACTGCACAAGTGAAGTGAGTAGCGCGGGTGAAGTAGTGTGCCTCCGTGACGAAAATTGGAATTATCTATTTCCGTTAGCGAACACTCGCCGCCGGCTCGATTCGCCGGCTCGTCGAGAGCGAGACCAAGCTGAGCGACACCGCGCTTTTGCAGGTACTGGCCTATAATAGACAACGCTCTGCGGGCGGCGGCGATCGAGCGTAAGATAGAGGTGCGCCTCTTGATCTCCTGGTGGAAACACTCGAGACCGTCCGAAACGTATTTCCTGAGGTCGCTGCAGGACCTCACGTCCAGCTACGCGAACGTCAACATCGAGGTGGTGAGTGTGCGCGGCGCGCGCTGACGAGACGAAACGAGATATCTCGCGGACACTCTTGTGTTGCAGAAGCGTTTCATCGTGCCGACGAGCCCGCGCTGGGACAGGATACCGTTCTCCAGGGTGAACCACAACAAGTACATGGTGACCGACGCGGCGGCTTACATCGGCACGAGCAATTGGTCGGGCGATTATTTCATCAACACGGCCGGTGAGTGCCCCGGCGCGGCGCCGATAGAATCGGGCTTTCCACCTGCTGCTGCTGCTGCTGCTGCTGCTGCTGCTTTCCTTCGCCTTCGGCCTGCGGCCGCGCTCGCATGATCGGAAAATTAATTAATCAAGCGCGAGCGATCGTTCCCAATCGCAGCGCAGCCGGGAGAGTGCGCGCTAACACGCAACACGCTTTGTTCCAGGTGTCGGCACCGTGTTCGAAAACGTCGGACGCGGTCAGACGAGGGACAACATAAGGCAGCAGCTGGAGGATATCTTCCGTCGCGATTGGTATTCCAATTACTCTTTCCCGCTGAATATAAGCGAGGCGCGTTTCGAGAACGCGTGGAGCTTGTTGAGGAGCACGTATCATCATTCGTCGCACGAGCCTTACATACACGCGTAATTAATGCGCGAGATCGATCCGCGCGCGCGGCAAGTATATATTCGCAATCAGCGGGGATTCCGCCGCCGCCGCTGCCGCGTTGTCGGAGCGCGAGCGGAAGAAGCCGTTGATTCGTTCGTTTGTTCGTTCCTTCGCGACTCCTTACGCGAGGGATTCCCTCCACCGCGCACGCCCCTGATTGCTACTTTTATAAATATGTTTTGAGCTTCTCTCGCGCGCGCGCGTGCACGCGAGGAGGCAGTGGATCATTATGTATTCCTCGGTTCATGATTATGCATATGTCGCTGTCCACGTGTGACGCTTTTTATGCGTTTATTGCGTTAAGACGTAATACACCAAGCGCGTTTTTAAAAGGTGCCGCTCCTTTTTGCGGCGAATTATTATGAATTAGGCGGATGTTTAAAATCAAGCTGGCCGACGACCAGTAATGCGTGAGAAATCAACGTCGACATCTTTGATAGAAATATTTCCACTTTTAAGGACACTGTTACGTTGCTCGTGATCGTGAGTCGAGTCTCGAAGCGAAGAAATCCAGTCGCGGAAGCGATACCAATCGTGTTTTGTCGCGCGATCTTTTTCTCTGCGCGTATTAACGATCGAGTACGTCTGTTTTGCTCCTTTTTTCCATCTACCGCTTCCTTGAGACCTCCCCCTTTTCGCTTTCCGAAGATCTCCGAAGTATTTTACATCCGTCTCAGAGTCTCTTATAAGAGCACATTATAAATACCGCAGACTGTGAAAAAAGAAAGAAAAAAGAGAAACAACCGTCGGACCGGCGATATCACGCAGTTCTTCCCTCGCGCAATTATTACCCGATCTCCCACACACATCACCGTCTCGCTATCGTCCTCATTATCATCTTTACACCTACCGCTGCGTGTGCAAACAGTGTATTATACCACTCGCGTGCTTAACGGCGTTCCACGCGAAGCGATGAAAAATAACATGTGCCTTAGAGAAAACGTTTTCGCGATGGGATGCGCATGCGGACGCACAGTTCACGACGAGGGCACAGAAAACCGCATCGCCCTACACGTTCGAAGAAAAGGAAAATGTACGCATCGACTTTTCGCGTTCTTCCATGTGTAAGTCTACAATTCTGTCGGCCGTATAACTCGCGCACCACTCGCGTTGAGCCTGTTATGTGCTACAGTTATATCCAAAGGTAGGATTTGACCGATTCCACCAACGATGTGCGGCGAGAGAGAGAGAGAGAGAGAGAGAGAGAGAGAGAGAGAGAGAGAGACGGCTAATACGCACCTGCATGACATATGGCGAAAAAAGGGAGGCAAGAAGAAAGGGAAAAGTAAAAAGGCAAGATGGAAATATCGCGTTGGTGCGCGCGGGTCGTTGATAAGAAGAAAAACAATGACTTTTGCCATCGGCGATGTATCGAAATTTATTCGAAGCGTGCGTTCTTATCGAACTAACGACAGTCGTCGTCATTCTCGATTGTTTTTCTACCCTTTTGTCGTCAAGTATTATATATCATCAATGTATGCCTCCGAAAAAGAGAGGATTTACAAGTATAATACAAAGTCCAGCATGAAAATTCATATTGTACTGCGTTTTGCTTACGTGGAAGCGAGATACTTTGTCCCTTCCCCCATCTTCGCAGGCTCGTTTTCTTCGTTGAGCACACGTCGATGAGAGAGAGCCCGGTGCGCCCGGCGTACGCATAATTAGTCTCGCTCGTACGCTGTTACGCTGCGACGGGACTTGCGTGTGCGCGGCACATCTTTCAGCCGTCTCGAAAGCCGTCAGAGAGAGAGAGAGAGAGAGAGAGAGAGAGGAACCGGTCTAACATATCGGCATTCAACATGGCATCTCGATTTTCGAAATAAAATCCAAGAGATTTTCAATGTACGTCATCGCGTTTCTCAATTCGCCCCTCTCCTTCCCCGTGTTACGACAAAGATGACGACAAAGGCCGACGACGACGGGCCGGGCGCGATGGTCGAGCGACGTTCGAGTTTACGTTGAGGTCCTAATGAATTTCCATCTCGTTCGTTTTAAGTGCTTGCAGTAACGGTAAGCACACGCTTCGGTGATCATTCCCGAGACGTACCGGTGCGCGCAGCTCCGGCCGACTGCATGCGTTGCACACACGTCGGTACGAACGAAGCGAGACAGAGAGAATGGAAGAATGGAAGGAGCGATAATAGATCGTCGAAATTATCGACAGACTCCAGCCGAGGATTATTATCGACAAAAGCTATTGGATCAACCGCTCTTCTCGCGCTTGACGCATGTTGACTTTTACGTATGTGCGGAAAAAACACGGGATAAAAGAGCGGGTATTGAAAATAAACGTAAAGACGCGATCTGTTTCTTGCGTTTCGCTCGACAACAAGACGAGTGCAGATTAAATCACTGGCTGTCGAAATTTTTATCGATTTCTTACACGATATACTGAGAACACCCTATAATGTGCCTATAATGTGTTGAAGAATCGTTAGCCGGCGGTGCGCATGTTGTGCGCGTGAATATATCGGAGAAAACCACCACGCTACTTTGCATACTAAGCGACTAAATAAAACAGCGATAAACAGAAAAGCATCTTGGAATATTACTGCGATCATTGGATACTGGATGTGCGCGAGGATAACATTTGAAATGATGACATGGAACGTGTAGAAACTTTATCCGACCGTACATATCTCGCGGTATCTTGAAAGATATTCCGACAATGGCGCAGGAAGACGATCAAATTTTATTTCAACCTTCGCGAGCAACTTCGCAAGCAATTCGAGAGGGAAAAATAATATTCGGTGGATGTACGTATTGCGAAAAATCGATATCGAGAAACGATGAAACGGAAAGGTGGAAAAACTCCGGGGTTTTTTACTTCGCTCGACATGTTTGACCCGAAAATATAAACAAAAAGATATATCTGTACGCGTATCGTAATCGTTCTTCATGCAAATTAATTGGAATTGTGCTTCACTCGTGCGACATCCTTTAATTAATGCGTGCCCGTCAGTGGTCGCATAAATGCATTAAAAGTGTATTTACATACATCAGGGGAAGCTGTACATTTTGAAAACTCAAGCCATACGCAACAACGTTTAACCTTTCTGTGGATGCACAGTTTTTTATCTTTCTATCAGCGTATTGAATATTCAGATGTGCATTACATATTCGGCATACGGTGTTCTAAAAAAATATTATTGACTTTCAATTTTTTCTACCTTTTTTCAAAGAGCGGTATTGCGCACAGATCGAGAGATGAAAGCCTTGGTTGATTAAAACGGTCGGTCATATCATCGTCATATAAAATTAATCGATCGTCGTGTATATGATTATGAATTATGAATTATTTAATCGATCAGCATGTGTCAATATTTAATTAACCTTTATGGAAAAGACACGTGTTGAGATAAGAGTAGAAATTAGCACGCGTGATTAAGCATGTAAATTCCCTGTTTAGATGGATATTATACAGAACATTATATTAATTAATCGATATTAATTAATCGATATTTTTCTATAAGCTTTTCATACATCTTATTCTTTCTTTCCTCGACGTTCTTGAAGTTGATATTGGAAACATGTATTTCAATCGATCAATTATAAAATCGATACGTACCCCATCTTTCGCCCCTTCCGCGATGCAACATGCTGCTCTCTTAGCTGCTCTATCATGCCATTTATTAGAATCTCATTGATATTGGCATTCGCAAGGACTCGCAATTCCTCCGGATACTCCAAATACTTACAAAATGCGCAACAGCCGATGAAAACCAGTCAACGTTTTTGCTTATTTTGAAATATATAATATAATTACAAACGTAAGAATTATCACTAATATTTAAGATGCAGGATCTTCCAACCTTCCTAAAAACTCCCTACCTGCGTCAGCGTCGAAGAAGCGGTCATCCCCTCTCTTCGGTAATCGTAGCTTGATATTAAACGTCGAATGATCGCAACGGTCAAAACCTCCCGAATCTTCGAAAGAGTCAAATCTCGTACTTTATAAGTGATCGTTTTATAAGTTTTATAAGTTACATTTCGGAGCGCTGAGCGGTCTTTGAAGTAATTAATCGCAACGGCATCGCGTTGCTTCGACCGCATCATATTTACGCGGACGTTAGCATCAAGGTCAGTGCAGCAGAGGCAGCACAGCCAGAGCACTGAGTCGACACATATTTTAAAGGTATGTTAAATCATCTGTTACAATTATACTTGCATTATTTATTCCACTTATCTTTGATTTATATTGGATTCCTCTTTTCTAACGTTATCAATTCGTTTACGTTACAACCGCTATCTTCGCTTTCGCTTGACGCGAGGAACTGCTTCCTCGCGTCAGCTTCCTCTCTCAAGAGTTACAATCGTTTCATCGAGAGAAAGAGAGAGAGATCTCGAATGAAACTAAAAACACGCGACGAAGAAAAGAATTGTGAGTGTAAAGTATACCGTTCCTTTCGCTCGGTCGCATTTGAATCTTTCTTTAAGTTGTAACAATACTTACATTACATATTCCATCTGTGACTCAGCAAATTATATAATGAATAAAATGAATAAAATGAAGTGCGGATTGATTGGACTGGAATGGGCAAAAACATATCAAGAGTGAATTCCTCTTGAATTCAACACGGGGAAAATGGCAGCAATTAATTGTTATTACCAAAGTACCAAAGCGGGTGTGCCATAACATGTGTGCAATATTACGGCATTTCGAGATTCTTCATTCAAGGCTCTTCTTCAAATCTGTCTTACGGATTTAATGTAGAACGAAGCATTTGGCTTGGCACAGTGCGTGAATGCGCGAGATCGAAAAGTCCTGCTGTTGTGTAAATGTTAAGGGGTTTCTCGTGTCGTATCGGGATATTAAACAAAGAACATATTTCTCGGCTCGGCCGTATCTCGGACGAAGAAATGGCACCCAGACAATCTGAGCCCGTCGTTCGGTCACTTGCAGTTGACAGCTCCGGATCAGGATCCTTTTCACATGTTCACGAACGGGACTCTGATCCCCTCTCGTCCACCTCCGGCTCCGTAGACGGCTTAACCTTGTCCGAGTAACCGCGATTATTCGGTCGGAAATTTTATTTGCGAAACGGTATACCGGCGGTAGCTCGCGTGACTTCCCCTTTCTTGTGGGAGGAGGAGGAGGAGGCATCGATCCTCCTCGATTGTCGGCGAATTCCGTGCGATCGTCTGTCCTCGTCGTCCTAAGAAGTTTTTATATTGTCGCGTGCCTTGTTTGACAACGCAGCGTTTAATCAGATTCGACCGATTGAATCGCGCTAATCGTGGCATATCAAATTTTGCTCATCTAACACGGGAAAATGGTTCCGAGACTTTGGGACGTGTTAGGTTTTGCACAGAAAATTGCAGATTTGGATGTTTCAGAGTATTCTATGGTGTCTTTTCTTTCCGTAAGGGTGCGTACACGCGCGCGCAAATTTCTGCCGTCCTTTTTCTCACTCGTGCAAATGCGAGTGCGCGACAATCTGCAATTACACCACAAATAGAACTCCATTCCAGATATAATTATGAATCGTCGATCAAACATCGATCGTCCGAGACCGATTCAACGCGCGACGGCACGAGAATTACATTTGTATTTCAACATGAGTTTCACAACGTAAACGGGCACTCAATAGAAAAAAAACCGTTGCTTCGTAATCCTCAGCAGATCACTTATCTTTTGGAATACCGTATATACGTATATACGCGTTCCAAGACTCGTCAGGGAAAAAATGTTACAATCTCGCCATTATTAAGCACACGGTCGGGCGGAAAATAGCCTCGTCTGCGCGTCAGACATTTCTATCTCGGCGCGTCTTGTTTGAGGAAGCAATCAATGAGATTCTCACGGAAAAACGAGGATTCTTCCGATGAAAAATCGCATGGTCGCGTCCCGAGCAGCGCGTGCCGTCTTATCTGCGACATCCCATCCGTGACATTTATCCAGCGGAACCCCGGAAACGGAACAATCCATCTAGCGCGAATGGATTGTTCTGTCTCGACGATACGGAAGGAAAGTCACCGATGCCAAGGCAGAAGGCCGCCATGGAGTCCGCCATGGAGACCGTGTGGGAGCTCAGTCTCGAGCGCGCGCCGCCTCACTTCCGTTCGTCCATCCGTCCAGCGGAGCGCTCTCGGACGGGACGGATTCTCCAGCGGATCCTCGGCTCAGGGCGCAGCGCGCTGCCGAGAGGAACAGGCGGAAGATGATTTTGGCCGGTGGCGAGATATCGAAAAAAAAGAGGGGGGTGAATGTCGGCAGTGGCGGCGGCGGCGGCGGCGGCGGCGGCGGCGGTGGTGGAAGATACAGGAGAGGGACAGGACACTATCGCAGGTAGGGATTACGACGGAAGAGGTGGGAAAAAGCGAGACCAGCGGCGACATCAGTGACAAGTAGTCCGGGCTGTTTTACTCGCGTCAAGTCCACGAGACGGAGGAGAGGATCGCGGTAGATCCACGGATCCATGCGAGGAGAAAGTTATTTTACTTATCTACCCGCCAGTGTTCACGTCTGTCTCCTGCCCGCCTGCCTGCCTGCTTGCCTGTCTGTCTTAACATCCGCCAGTCAGATCGCCTATCTTGCCCGTCTTGGCTACCTGCCTGACCGCTGTCGCCGCGGAATCCTTTGATCGATTATCTCTCGGCATTGTATAAGGTTAGTGGAGGATTGAGCGAGATCGATAGGCGAGACACGTTCTCGCACGAAGGGAGAGAGAGAGAGAGAGAGAGAGAACTTGTTACGGCGAAATGACGTGACACGCGCGTTTTTCCCATGCTAGTCATCGGTGGCTAATCATCGCGCGATCGCCGCGCGTCGAGCCGAGTTGAGGGCGCGCGAACGGACGCGCAAAGGTTGAAACGTGGCCGGTCGTGGCGAGCGGCGACTCCGAGGCGACGTGAGCGAGAATCACGATGAACATGAATCCTCGGTTGAGCGATATTTTCTCCAAATTAGCATCTCCGCGAAAGCGCACGCGTGGATCGCGTCGCGTCGGTCTATATCGCCCGGAATCGCGCATATTACCTTTCTTTCCGCTGAAATTCAATACGCTCGGGAATTTAGAAATCGCGGCTAGAGACTCGCCGGCGAAAGTGGAGGGAACGCTCACGATGACTCGGTGAAAAGCCGAACGGGCTCTTTCGAGTCCGCGAGCTGTGAAGGAACACGAAAAATGCCGTTATCCTTCCCAGCAGCAGTGCTTGCGCAAAATGTTCTCGGCTCCTGCAAACAACGGCTGGGGCTGGACCCGGACTGCCTAATCGCCGTCCCGATCCGTCCAAATCTGTACTCGTCGTTAAAACTTGCTCGTAAACGGAACGATAAGTTAGAGTCTCCTTCACACTTATTTCACACCTTCTTCTCTTTGTATCGCTTCACCACCCGATATGCCGATTAGCTTGCAAATTTGGAACGCTCGGCACGCATACACACACACACACACACACACACACACACACAATGCGAGACATTTAACGGAAAATCTGAAATCTTAATTTTTTTCGCACCCAAACATTTGGTGACAAAGTTATTAACGAGGCCGGCGGTGGAGACTCGAAGACAAGACAAGACAGACGAGCGTGTGCGTCTTCTCGTCGACGTGCAGCAGAGACAATTAACGGGCTCGACGGCGAGCTTCGCTCGGCCGAATTCGGTCTTTCGCGAATCGACACGTCTCTCTCTCTCTCTCTCTCTCTCTCTCTCTCGCCCCGCGAAAGAACGCTTTTCGTATCTCCGCGATGTAGATGATAATACGGCTGATTGGGTGGATGTCACGCGCAGGCGATACGCGAGTTTTCGCATCGCCCACGAATCTTCCCTTTTTCTACTACATTCTGCCGCGTCTGGCTTTAGTCACGTATCGTCGTCGTCGTCGCGTCTTCTATGCGCCATGCGCATTCCTCCTCGGCCTTCTTCGGCCAACGGTCAATGTCATTTTTCATCTAGGGGGGATCACCGAACCAGTTTCGGGCCGCTCGCGCTCGCGCTCTCGCTCTCGCTTATATGCGATAATACCGGTTTAAGGGCTGGCTTCAACACGGCTCGCCGAGCCTATGAGATTTTTTAGTGGGTTTCTCTTGTCCCGTTAAATTCTTCCTTCCCATCCAGCGGCACGAAATTTACAATGTTGGTGACGGACTGCCCGGACGGGAATATTCATGACGAAAGTCTCTCGACCGTGATTGACATGAATAATCGTATTTCGACAGGGACAGACCACGTGGCGCGGTGAGAGAAGCATGTTATTCTAATCCATATTAATCGCAATTACGAAATAACGTGTACACGCACACACGCATGAAAATTTTATTATAATATTCATTCCATATTCACACGTGGCGCGCATTTCCGTCTGTCGTAATCTTTCGCAAACTTTCTCTCTCTCTCTCTCTCTCTCTCTCTCCCCCCTCCCCTCTCTTTCTTTCTCTCTCTCTCGCTCGCTCGAGGATGATTGAGACACGATTTTCCATCATCTCGAAACAC